TTTTAACCTTTACAGTGACTTTTCTGTCAAGCCAGTCCAATCGGAATTTATTCTTGACATTTGAGTCAATTTCTAGGATTAAAGACTCCTGATCTTTCGTCAAAAATTTCATAATTCCGCTCAAAACGATCCCAGAACAATGAATTTGCGAGACGAACAGGCCGCCATGAATCAGGTAAAACCTATATGTTACATGCAATTTGATTGGTCCAATCGCTTGTAGTTAACCAATCGCTGGGCCGTATCTAATCGAGCTAAGACTTCCGCAACAAATAATGCCTTCAGTGATCTGATTAGTTGAAGCTTTCATCCACGTCCAATCGCAGGGCTGTTTGCAAACGGAAAACGGAGAGACTGTTCGGGAGAGCTCGTGAAAACTCGACAATAAGGTACCTGACCGCCCCTAAAATTTTCTCAACGGATTTAGACGATTCACAAAAATGATCAATTTAAGAAATAAAACGGCGGATTTCCGCGGATACGCGGAAAATTGCCATCTATGTGAAGAGTGACTGGACGTGGAGGTGGAACAAAGCCATCATGCGGTCCAGGACCAAAAACATGCATTTCTGTGATTGCACTGGTCAGGTTGACCTCGTACAAGGGCCTCACCAAATGCTAATGTTTTCTCCTACAATTAAGACGAAAGATAGATCAGTTGTTTTGCAAGAGAGGATACACTAGGGGTGTTCACACGGCACACATTTGCTCCGGTGTTGTACCGATGTATTTTGTTGCGATATATCTTACACCGGATCAAATTTTGTGGAGCGTTCACACGTACAAAGCCGCTGAGCGTGTTACCCCCGGTGCAGCCCCGGTGCAGCCCCACTTGAGTTCACACGGCAGTTTCTGCAGCGGTGCAAAACAACAGAAAACAAAGAGCTGTCGTGTTGTGTTGGTTCTTTTTAAAAAATATACAACTCAAGCAACTACTGTACAGGCACGTCCTTCTCCTTCTCGGTCTCCGTGCCTTCTGCTCGAGAGGCGTTCAATGACCGCTGCCGAAAACGTAAATCAACGATGACTTCAATGACACTCAGAAAAGCAAACATATAATGCGCCAAACAGAAAATCAAGAGAGGAAATCACAAAATAAATTCTATGGGGGGGTTGTGAACACACAACAGAGGAACAAACTACACAAACAACTCCGAGACAGTCCAGTCTCCTACAAAAGGAAAGATGACGGAAGTACAACAGAGCACGAAAGCAACGCATTCTCGCCGTATGTAATCAACTCTTCTCATGCGTAGCGAGACTACTCCCCCCACAATAGAGCATTTGCTCCGGAGCAAATTTTTAACCCTGTAGCGTTCACACATACCGTTTTACATCGGTGCTGCCCCGCAATTTGCTCCGGAGCAAATTTTTAAACCACCTCCCTGAGCAGGGTTAAATTTGCTCCCGTTTAAGCTGTTTTCAGGGGCTACACCGGTGTATCTTTGCACGTGTGAACACACTACTGGGGCTGCCCCGGCGCAGCACCGGAGCAAATGTTGCCGTGTGAACACCCCTACTGACGATTTTGTGATCACAATATTCATTGTAATCAAGAGAGGGATTTGTAGAAGAATTAACTACTTACTGTTTTGTAGTACTACTTTTATTGCTTTCTAACCACACCCACCTGTGTGGGGATTTTCCAGCGAACATGTTTAACTTAACAGAAGGAGCTGTTATCTTGATCATTTCTGTTGCTGGCACCAGCCAGAAGGGACAGTTGCCTGTCTCCTCACACATTCCAACTTTTATGACTACCCCGGATCACACTGGATTTTGTCTTTTTGTAACTGTTTTACATGGGGAGTGATTGTCCACGTCCCATTTGCATATTGCCTCTATATTATATTATTTATATTTTTATGTCTGTACATCTAAAAATACAAAGGTCCGAATCAATTTGTACTGAGTTGTGATGTTGGAATAAAGAGATGAAAAGAGATGTTGGAATACGGAAAAGACATTGAAGTGTTGGGTCTTCACTTTTAGAGAAATAAAAGAACCTGTGTGCAAAGGATCAACAAATGGGTGAGATTCCTTTGCAAGAGGAAATGTGTGCAATGACATATAAAATAAAATGAAATGTACCTATGGTCTTCAGTGCTTTGTACTTTGCTGTAGTGTGTACTTCATTTCAAAGGCAGAGAATGTACCAAACGACTCAGATTTGATTTGAGGGTTGTATCCCGATTATAAGATAAGATAAGATAACTTTTATTTGTCCCACACTGGGGAAATTTGCAGTCTACAGCAGCAAAATTGGGGGCCGGGGGGGGGGGGGTGGAGTGTTTCATTGCACAGAATAAATGTTTCAGAAAAGAATTGAAATTAAAAAAAAAAAAAAAATTAAATACAAAAAATAATAAATTAAATTAAATACACATAGTTTGTCCGGTGTGTCATCTTTAGTTGTTTTATGTGACTTAGGAGCAATATCATTTTTTTTGCTGTTGCAGAAATCATTCTGGGATCGTGAAAACAAAGTATCTCGTGAATGGTTGCTAGCATGCTGCCACAGCCAGATATAAACAATGCATCATTAGCTTGAAGCGGCATTGTGATTATACTGTAACCAATAGTGCATCAATGGCTGCATGGTGGTGGTGAGAGAACTGTATGAAATTATCATCTTTCGTTTTTGTTTTGCATATGGACGTTAATGCTTGCTGGCTCCCCCAGTGTAAGTTTTGACAGACAAATTGGCCACTTGACGAAACATTTACCTCACCAACTCCCATTTTCACCTCGTCATTGTCTGACTGAAAACAAAAGCTGCTGTCACTTGAACCAGTTGATCCTATCTTCTAAAAATCTCTCAAATGTGATGATAGTTCAGGCCCGAAGACATCTGTAAATTCATTTTTCATCATAGTGGTAGTGCCACCTGCTGGCTAAATGAAACAGATGTTTTATTCTTTTATGTTTTTCTCCAAGCGGGTGAACCAGGTCAACCTCATATTTGCTCAGAAAAGTGTTCAGGCTTTCGTGATGTTGAAACACAAAACTTGTGATGTTTTGTGAAATGCTACTGTGTTTACGACATGCTGAATACAGAGATGAAAGTGGACTTTTCTGAAAATTCCGGAAAAAATAAATAATATAAATTAAAAATAT